TACTGATCCCTGAACTCTGTGTATAAATTAACACTGATCCCTGATCTCTATGTAAAACGTAATACTGATCCCTGAACTCTGTGTATAAATTAACACTGATCCCTGATCTCTATGTAAAACGTAATACTGATCCCTGAACTCTGTGTAAATTATAACTTAATTTTAACTCCTAAACTCTGTGTATAACTTAATTTTAATACTGATCTTTAATACCTCTGAACCCTATGTATAAACTTAATACTGATCCCTGAGCTCTGCGTATAACTTAAGCCTGACTCCTAAACTCTGTGTATACCTTAATACTGATCTCTGAACCTTATGTATAACTTAATACTGACTGAGCTCTGCGTATAATTTAAGATGCTCTGTGTATACCTTAATACTGATCTCTGAACCTTATGTATAACTTAAACTGATCCCTGAGCTCTGATATAACTTAAGCCTGACTCCTAAACTCTATGTATAATTTAATACTGATCTCTGAATTAATGCTGACTCTGGAAAACTGTGCATAACTTAACCCTCCATTTACATCAATCCCGACTTTGAAATCATGCGACTTACCGTGAAATTGCACGATTTCAAAGTTGGGGGACCTGCTGATTTCAGGTGCGATTTACAAGACATCTGATACAGATGTCTATGCAAATTGTACCAAAAGTAGTGCATATACTACTTTCGAAATCGGTGCGGCTCTGACCAAGTGACTGCTCCAATTGCGGACAATAGGGTGCGACTTGGCATGCAATTTGCAAGTCGCAGGGCATGCATATCGCATGCCAAGTCACATCCATTGTGAACCAGGGCTTATACTGATCCCTGAACTCTGTGTATAACTTAATCTTGACCCTTGAACTCTGTGTGTTATTTAAGTCTGACCCCTGAACTCCTGCATTACTTTAACTGGAAAATTGCGCAGGCATTCAATGCTGCACCCAAATTAAATTTACGTCTTTTTCGCCCACAAATAGAGCTTTCTTTTGGGGGTATTTCATCGCCTGTGTGTTTTTTATTTTTTGCGCTGTAAAAAAAAAAGTCCAACAATTTTGAGAAAAAAAATTATATTTTTGACCTTTTTGCTATTAAACATGTCCAGTAAAAAAAAATTTAAAAATCTAATTTCGGCATAAATTTCGGCCAAAATGTATTCTGCGACACGTCTTTGCTTAAAAAAATCCCAAAACATGTAAAATAATTGGTTTACGTGAAAGTTATAGCGTTTACAAATGGCGGTATATATACTGGGAGTTACTGAAGCCTGCCACTGAACTCTGTGTTATTTCATTCTGACCCCTGAACCACTTTGCATTACTTAATCCTAACCCCTGAACTCTCTGTGTGACTTAATCTTGACCTCTGAACTCTGTGCATTACTAAATCCTGACCCCTGAACTTTGTGCATTACTTAAACCTAACCCCTGAACTCTGCTTTACTTAATCCTAACCCCTGAACTCTGCTTTACTTAATCCTAACCCCTGAACTCTGCTTTACTTAATCCTAACCCCTGAACTCTGCGTTACTTAATCCTAACCCCTGAACTCTGCGTTACTTAATCCCAACCCCTGAACTCTGCGTTACTTAATCCTAACCCCTGAACTCTGCGTTACTTAATCCCAACCCCTGAACTCTGCGTTACTTAATCCCAACCCCTGAACTCTTTGGGCTACTTACTTCTGACCCCAGAACTCTGTGCATTACTTAATTCTGACCCTTGAACTTTGTGCATTACTTAATCCTAACCCCTGAACTCTGCTTTACTTAATCCTAACCCCTGAACTCTGCTTTACTTAATCCTAACCCCTGAACTCTGCTTTACTTAATCCCTACCCCTGAACTCTTTGGACTACTTACTTCTGACCCCAGAACTCTGTGCATTACTTAATTCTGACCCCTGAACTCTGTGTTACCTAATTCTGACCCCTGAACTTTGCTTTACTTAATCCTAACCTCAGACCTCTCTGCATTACTTAATCTTGACCCCTAAACTCTTTGAGTTACTTACTCCTGAACCCAGAACTCTGTGCATTAACTAATTCTGATCCCCTGAACTCTGTGCAGTACTGAATTCTGACTCCTGAACTCTGTGTGTTATTTAATTCTGACCCCTGGATTGTGTGCATTACTTAATCCTAGCCCCTGAACTCTCTGTGTTACTGAATCCTGACCCCTGAACTCTCTGTGTCACTTAAACTTGGTCTCTGAACTCTGTACTCTACTTAATCCTGATCCATGCTATTTATGCTTCACACTCTCTTGGCCCACATCAGTATAAACTGAATTTTTATGTAACCATTCTGCTTTAAGCCCCACCCACTGTTGGGGCAATTAGGCCACACCCACAGTCATTCCCCATCTCATGGTATCCGAGATATTCTGTCTTCATACCTTGAATGTCTTCCAAACTTCTGCTACCTTTTGTTTCAAGACATGTTAATGGGGATGTGATTTTGTGGGGTGTGGATAAAAATGAGGGCATGGTTTGTGGGTGTGGTTAAAAATGGGCATGGTAAGTAGGTTGTCCCAAGATTTTGAAAATCTGTTAAAATGGTATTAAATCCCAAATCAAAAATGTACTACAGTATATTGTAGCTTACTAATCATTAAATGTGGATGGCTGCATTCTTTTTCTTTTTTAGGCTTTCTCCCTCTGTTTTCACCTGGTGATCTGGCCAGTAACACTCCTCCTGTATTAGAGTGAGCCCACTCTGACTGATGGAACATGGGGGGGGGGGGGTACAGCAGAAGCAGCATTGTCATTCTGGGGGGGAGGGGGGGGGGAGTGGTAAATGTACTAGCGGATTGCGATACACTAACAAATTGAAGCTGAACTCCAGCCCATACTTTCTAAGCAGTTGCAGCAGACAGTTTTTGTTCCTTTTGGGAGAAAGATTTTATATTAATAAATAAAACCTGATCATTGTAAGCACTCCTGTCAGTGGTAAATGGATTCCCCTCATCCCTGTAAATTGATACATCTGGAAGACAGCTTGTTCTTTTGAAAAGCAACAGCCTTACTGGGCAGATGACCAGATGAAAATAGAAGAAAGAAAGTCCAAAAAAGGAAACTAATATAGCCATCACATCTAAGAATTGTACGCTGAAATAAAATAAGTGCTTGCTTTTGGGTTTATTACTGCTTTGATCTTACTCTGCCACACTAGCAGTCTATATGGTGGCATTTGTATACATTCCCCATAGAGGTGCCAAGCTTCTTGTGTCTTTTGTTTAACAAGAGAGTGTTAATAAGCCCTGCAAATGGCCAGAACTGAATAACAAGATTTGCGCACTTAGGGAATTTCTGTCTACAAACACAACTTTATATCAGCACATTTTAAAAGCCATTTTCTTTTTTATGTTTTATCTCAAATATTTCATTTACTATATATTTTTGAGATGTGCATAAACATTTTTTGAAGTGTCCACATAAATTATTATTATTATACAGTATATATATAGCACCAACGGTTTGCTCAGCGCTGTACATTATAATGGGAGACAGTACACGAGACAGTACAGTAACAATACATACAATACAATACACGAGGGGTTCGAGGGCCCTGCTCCTTGGAGCTTACAATCTAGGAGGGAGGGGAGAGTGGTACAGGAGGAAATAGCTGTGGGGGATGGAGTGGTGGGAAGAGCGGAGTAGATCAGCAAATTAGGTGAGAGCAGGGTAGGCTTCTCTGAAGAGATGGGTTTTCAGGGTGGCCTGAAGATGAGGAGGGAAGGTGACAGTCTGATGGATTGGGGTAGTGAGTTCCAGAGGATGGGGGAAGCCCTGGAGACGTCCTGGAGATGGGCATGGGAGGAGGAGACCAGGGAACTGGAGAGAAGGAGGTCTTGTGAGGAGCGGAGAGTGCGTTTTGGGTGGTAGATGGATATCAGGTCGGTGATGTAGTTTGGGGCAGTGTTATGAGCAGCTTTGTATGTTAATGTTAATATTTTGAATTTTATGCGTTGGTCAATCGGAAACCAGTGGAGGGATTGGCAGAGCGGGGTGGCGGATATGGAGCGGTTGGTAAGGTGGATGAGTCTGGCCGCAGAATTCAGGATAGACTGAAGCGGGGATAGCCTGTTTTGGGGTAGGCCGGCGAGGAGGGAGTTACAGTAGTCAAGTCGGGAGATGATAAGGGAGCAAATTAGTTGGTTTGTAGTTTCTTCTGGAGTTAGGAACGTGCGTTTTTTGGAGATGTTGCGGAGGTGGAGTCTGCATGAATTTGTCAGCGATTGGACCTGGGGCTGGAAGGACAGATTGGAATCTAGATTACACCTAGTACTCTGGCTTGCGGGGTGGGGCTGATGGTGGCATTGTTGGTCATGATGGAGAGGTCGGGGGGGGGGGGGTGTGGGCTGGTGGGAAAACTAGGAGCTCAGTTTTGGCAAGGTTTAATTTGAGGAAGTGGAGTGACATCTAGTCTGATATGTCGTTCAGAAGGCTAGTGATTAGAGCGGAGACTGAAGGAGTGAGGGAGGAGTAGAGAGATAGATTTGAGTGTCATCGGCATAGAGATGGTAAATATTTATTACCTTTTAAAAAAAAAAATCTAATCAGCAAACTTGTGTAAAAATGTGCAGAAACTATCCTTGTATTAACTAGTTGCCGACCGCAGATAGCCGAATGACGGCTGCACTGCGGCCGGCCAGTTCTGGGTGGACGTCTATCGTCCCCCCAGAACGCGCTCTCCTGCGCGCGCCAGGGGGCGCGCACCCGGCGATCTCCGTGATCGCTGTGTCCTACGGACACAGCTGATCACGTGATGTGGTAAAAGGCCAATCATACCGGCCTTTTACCACGTGATCAGCGGTGTCCAATGACACGCTGATCACAGGGAAATGCAAGTGCCGGTTCTCGGCTGCACTTTCCTCACGCTGTCAGATCGTGAGGAAAGTACTGCCGAGAACCGGCAGTTGTCAGAGCGAGGATCGGCACCGATCATCAGGGCACTGATGATCAGTGCCCTGATGATCGGTGCCCAGCAGTGCCACCCACAAGTTCCACCCACCTGTGCCCAGCAGTGCGCCCACTAGCTCCGCCCACCTGTGCCCAGCAGATCACCCACCTGTGCCCAGCAGTGCACCCACCTGTGCCCAGCAGTGCACCCACCTGTGCCACTCTGCAGTGTCACACACCTGTGCTCAGAAGTGCCACCTACCTGTGCCCAGCAGTGCCACCCACCTGTGCCCACCCACCTGTGCCCACCTGTGCCCACCCACCTGTGCCCACCCACCAGTGCCACCCACCAGTGCAGCCCAGCAGTGCTGCCAGTCAGTGCCACCAGTCAGTGCCCAGCGGTTGCGCCAGTCAGTGCCGCCAGTCAGTGCCCAGCAGTGATGCCAGTCAGTGCCGTCTATCAGTACCCATCATCAGTGTCACCTATCAGTGCCGCCTATCAGTGCTGCATATTAGTGCTGCCTATCCGTGACACCTCATTAGTGCTGCCTATCAGTGCCGCCTATCCGTGCCACCTCATTAGTACTGCCTATCAGTGCCCTTTAGTGCTATCAGTGCCCATCAGTGCCGCCTATCAGTGCCCATCAGTGCTGCCTCATCAACGCACATCAGTGAAGGAGAAAAATTACCTGTTTGAAAAATTTTATAATAGAAACAAAGAAACTTTTTTTTTTTTTCAAATTTTTTTGCATTTTTTAATTTATAGCGCAAAAAGTAAAGCGCCCAGTGGCGATTAAATACCACTAAAAGAAAGCTCTATTTGTGAGAAAAAAATGATCATAATTTCATATGGGTACAATGTTGCATGACCGCGCAATTGTCAATCAAAGTGCGGCAGCGCTGAAAGCTGAAAATTGGCCCTGTAAATAAGGGGGTATAAGTGCCTGGTAGGCAAGTGGTTAAAGCAGAACTTAATCCAAAGTATTTCTTTAATTTTGGATACAGTGGGAAATAGTTTCAACCTTTTAGATTCTGAGCAAATAAAATGTACTCCTGCTGAACCTCTTTGCCCTGTTGTTTACTACAAGGGAAGCACTGGTGCAAGAAAAAGTTCCGTTTCTTTCTAGGTCAAGTAAGGCAGTATGTCTTTCACTCAGTTCTATGTTCCAGTTCTTTATTTTACATGCATATACAGATAAATATGACTCAGTGTGCTTATTTATTTTAGCCACAAAAGGGCTGTAATCATAGCTAGTAGTAAGCAGACTGTCATTTTTTAGCTGTTTGCCCATGTAAAATTTAAAAAAAATGGAACTAGGAATTGGGTACATAACCTGCTTTTCTCATTAATATTAAAATATTTTTATCATCAAAATAATGAAATTGTTGCTTTGTTGCATGAGTTTTGGTTTAGCTCAGTGGTGCCCAACACACAACCAGGGGCGGACTGACAACTCATGGGGCCCCCGGGCAATAGGAGATCATGGCACCTACTGACACCCAGGCCCTCGGGCCATGCCCGAGTTCCCAAATGGTGAGTCCGCCCCTGCACACAACTATACTGCACTGACTACTGGGAGGCGGTTAAACCTCACTGCCTCACTGCACTGACCACCACGGAGGGAGAGGGGGGGGGGGGTCAATTTTACTGCCTGACTACACTGACCACCACAGGAGGTTTTACATTTCATTGCGACTGCACTGACCACCAGGGGAAGTAGTTAAATTTCACTGCCATTGCACTAGGCATAATTATTGTGGCTACTGACACCATTGATGGGGGTCATTATTGTGGTCACTGACACCAATGATCACTCTTTCTCTTCAGTGTGCATAGCTGTACATTGCAAAAAATGCAGCAGGACCAAGATTTTCGGCTGCTGAGACGCATTATATATGACTCAACATAATTCACCTCGACTTGCGAAAACTCACTGCTGATCTGGGGCCCCACTTGAGGTTCTCTATTAAAATTGAAATTGAAATTGACCGCCACTGGTCCAGATAGTAATTTATTCTTCTCATTCTGTGTGAAGTATGCACCGACATAAAATTAAATAGATGTTTTCTTTTTCATTTGCTATATTTTTGTTAGCGGAAATTGGTCCTCCCACAGTCAACTTGAATCTTGGTAATGCATCCATTGAAATTCAGCTGACTCATCCTGTTAAATCACTTCATAAGATTTTCAAAGGAGTAATGTATCATATATACGTCAATGATAAAGAGAGAAAAATTGAGGTAAGTTTTTGAAAGAGTAGCTTTTTTAAGTATAAGGTTTTAATGTAAACCCCCCCAGTTAAAGCATTCATGGTTAAACCAAACCTGATGGTATAACCGCCTCACAAATATTTGCTATGCTATCTGTTGTGTAGGTGTGCAGCAGAGCTGTTTTTCTTTGCAAAAATGACATTTTCACCTGTTATGTTTCAGCAATTGTTTACTATCTCACGCTGACTGTTTCTTGTCTTTAGAGGTCACCCTGTTCCTAACAGCTTGGTAGCAATATATACTATATTGCCAAATGTATTGGGACACTCCTCCAAATCATTGGATTCTGGTGTTCCTATCACCTCTATGGCCAAAGGTGTATAAAATCAAGCACTAACACCCCGGTCGCACCAGGTGCGACTTGGCATGCGATTTGCAAGCCATGCAACTTGCAAATCGTATGCCAAGTTGCACCCTACCGTCTGCAGTTACAGCGGTCATATCAGTGTGCTTCCGTCTTGGTCGGACCAACACCGATTTTTAAAGTAATACATGCACTACTTTTGGTGCGATTTGCATAGACATCTGTGTCAGATGTCTTGCAAATCAAATCTGAAATCGTGCGACTTTACTATAAGTCACACAATTTCAAAGTCAGGCTTGATGTGACTGGCGTGTTAGGCATGCAGACTGCTTCTACAAACATTTGTGAAAAGAATGGGTCACTCTCAGGAGCTCAGTGAATTCAAGCGTGGTACCGTGATAGGTTGCCACCTGTGAAATAGGTCCACCCATGAAATTTCCTTGCTACTAAATATTCCATGGTCAACTGTTAGTGGTATTATAACAAAGTGGAAGCAACTGGAAACAACAGCAACTCAGCTACGAAGTTGTAGGCCACGTAAAATGACAGAGTGGGGTCAGCGCATGCTGAAGCGCACAGTGCGCAGAAGTTGCCAACTGTCTGCAGAGCCAATAGCTAAAGACCTCCAAACTTCATGTGGCCTTCAGATAAGCACAGCAACAGTGCATAGAGAGCTTCATGAAATGGGTTTTTTATTGGCTGAGCAGCTGCATCAAAGCCATACATCACCAAGTGTAATACAAAGCATCAGATGCAGTGGTGCAAAGTACGCTGCCACTGGACTCTACAGCAGTGCAGACGTGTTCTCTGGAGTGACAAATCATGCTTCTCTGTCTAGCAATCCGATAGGTTTGGTGGTCTCCAGGAAAACTTTGCCTGCCTGACTGCATTTTTTTCAAAAATACTAAGTGCCACTACTTGACAAGTCAGAAACACAACAAATGTCACAGATCTGTGATATAAAACAAACTCTGCAAGACTGACAATAGAATGGTAGAGTTGTAGATGTGCCTGGATAGCCTGCATGTTTCATTGTGCTAATTGGCTTGCTGTGTACCTATGAATCAGAACTTCTGAGCTAGAGACAGTTTCTCTTTGAAAAATAAGTCCTGTAGTTGCTGCAGTAAGAACTGATAGTACTTTATAGAAAATATATTCCCATCAGGTGGTATGTCACTACTCTTCTGCAGTATTCCAATAACTTCAAAGGCACTGTGATCCCACAAATAATGGCTGACATGCAGAAAGTTTGTATCTGGCAGTTTAAAAACATTGTGTCTAATCTCTATAACAATCACAGAAGACAAGTTAAAGTGGCATATAACCTGAGCTAATTCAAATGTAAGTGCAGCGTAAAGCATACGTGACAAATGCAATCATAGAGTGCTTATGTGAATAGAAGTGTGCATACAATAAAAACGTCTCAGATCATATAAAATCATAGAATCATAAAAAACTCTAAAGATCTGAACATAAATAGTCTGTGGCACTACAGGTCACAGGAGTGCCAAGTGATATGTGTGTGCTTTTTAGTAACATTAGTGATTATACATAGTCCATGGCACTACAGGTCACAGTAATGACCGGTGTTCATGGAACTACAAGGTGCAGCAATATCATCTGGGATGCTCGAGAGTGCTCATGATCCAACATGGGAATCCACCACCTTATATGGATGTGCACTCACCAGAACACTACTTATTTATTTATTTCAGGTACTTATATAGCGCTGTAAATATTACGCAGTGCTTCACATATATATTGTACATTCACATCAGTCCCTAACCCTGAAGGGGCGTACAATCTAAGGTCCCTAACTCACATTCGTACATACACATACTAGGGACAATTTAGACAGGATCCAACTAACCTACCAGCATTTCTTTGGAGGGGGGGGAGTAAACCGGAGTATAATAGCGTTAATGCTGATCCTTATGGGGGGTCTCAGGAAGCCATAAATAGGGACCGGACCAGGGGCGGACTGACCATTTGGAAACTCGGGCACTGCCCGAGGGCCTGGGGTCAGTAGGTGGCCCCATGAGATGCCCCTGGTACCTTTTTCATGGGCTTTTTTGAGTTTGGGCAAGGACACAGGGACCCCATGATCCCCTATTGCCCAGGGGCCCCATGAGTTGTCAGTCCACCCCTGGACCGAACTTCTCCAGGGTCAGGGCTATGCAAAACCAGCAAAGGATCCTCCTAGGGGGAGAAGCTCACCACAGGAGCCGAAGGTATGGCAATATAGTGTAGCATTTATTGTAAATAGTTAAAAAAATAATCCACATGGATACAGCAAAGATTTAAATACATGAAAGCATACCAAGATGGCCACCACTCCAAACTCTGGCCGTGGCGGCGTGACATCAGCACGTGAGGCTCATCCAACTTGATTCGTGTGCATGCACTTCCCGTCTGTCCCATGTACATAAACGGCCGGACGGGAGCGCTTCCGGAACTGGTGGACATTTTTTAAACGTCCCCCACATCCATTGCCTGTGTGTGCTCCCTGGAACACCGATCACTGTACGGGACCTCTTTGTGAGGTCCCGATTCATGTGATCACTGATTGGCCAATCAGTGATCACATGAATAGTAGTAAAAAAGATGTCACTTCCTGACATCATTGCTTACTACTTGTGTAATCTACTTACAGAGGTCACATGGTACAAGGCTATTCACAACAGCCTTGTACCATGTGACAAGCTGTGACCAATCACAGCTCTCACAGTATTTCTCAATGGCTGCAAGAATGCAGCCAGAGAGAAGGAGAAATCATTGCTTTTACAGCCTTTATCAACCCCCACAAGTAGTACAGTGTCACTATGGTGACACTGTATTGCTAGAGTGACAGTATGTTAAAAAATAACAAAAACATAAATAATATAAAAAAAATAAAAATGTAAACAAAATTTTTAAAAAAAATTATAATTGTTGGTTATAAACTAATTTTTATTTTTTTTTACTAAAAATATAGATGAATACATTTTGACCAAGATTTATGAAGAAAGATTATTTATTTGCAATATTTTATAAGAAAAACACTTTTTTTTTTTTCAAAATTTTAGAATTTTTTCATTTATATATCAAAAAACTTAAAATCCCAGTGGTGAATAAATACCACCAAAATAAAGTTTTATCTGTTTCAAAAAAATGCTAAAAATTAATATGGGTACAGTATTGCATGACCGCACAATTGTCATTCCAAAATGTGATAGCACTGAAAGCTGAAAATTGGCCTGGACTGGAAGGGGGTGAAAGTGTCTGGACTTGAAGTGGTTAAAGCAAACTCCTCTATCCATCCTTGTCTCCATGTGTTATTTTGCTGAGAAATCACTTTGAAAAACACCCCTTAGCATTTCTGGCCATGGCCATCTTGAGTAAGGGCAGATGTTTCATGTAGCATTTGCTTTTGGTAATTCATCTGCCCTTAGCTCAGGCATGCAGGAAGGAGGGTGTGCTTAAGCTGAAAAAAACCCTCCTCCCCTGAAGACTCCTGGGATGTAGGACATTAGTTGCCTAGGCAAGAAGTAACTGAAGAAATGGATAAAACAAAGTTTTAAAACTAATTATGATATACTTTCCTATCTATGTACTAATGCTAGCAGTAGTATAAGGATTAAAAACAGTCAATGTTGATTAGAGAGTGAAGTTCCACTTTAACATTAATGACTCTCCTAAATTCACTTCTAGGAGCCTTATTATAAGATTGAAAATATAGACCCGAATACAAGATATTGTGTAACTGCAGAAGTATACTGGTTTAACAAAAACAGTGTTCGGTCAGGTCAGAAAAACATGCATTACAACAAATGCAGGTAAGAAAGATGAAAGAATTATGTTATGTTTGGTTTGTAGTATGCATATATTTTTGAAAATATTTCTCTCTTTATTGTTTTTTGATGCAAAAATGTGTGACCAAAATTCTCCACTTTTGGCCAGTTTGACATTGCTTTTTTTCAGTCATCTTTTACATTTGCACTTGTATATATAAATTGACATATAATAAACATACTAACAATCAACCCCCAATATCAATAAAATGTACTAGCATCCTTTTACAGCTTCTATTTTAAACGTGAAGCATACGCTTGACAAAGTGAGTATTATTCCCTATCTTCATGGGCCCTCCAGTTCTCACCTTAGGCTTGCGCACTGCAACCCCCCCAATCGGAAAAAAAGGGAAATGCCCACCCCTTGGATCCTTATATTGCGTTCCTGTTTCAATATCTATTTAGACGGACCTCACGTTTTCCAATATCTTAAAATATTCTACTCCTAACATCCAGGTAGGATAATATACCCCTTGACTATGGTTCTTTATTCTAGCTATTTTATTATCCATCTTCTTATTTTTCATTCACCTTTATTAGTAACTTAGCAAATTTCTCTGATTTCTTTAATGCAAACCATTTTTCCTATGTAATTTTATATTTCTCCAGACAGAGTATCCTCTCCCATGTGCATTAATTTTTTTCTATCCGTTATCCACCTGTGAATACTCTTTTACTTTCAGAAACATTTAGGATTTTTTTGTGTATACCAAGTCACTTTAGAGATCTAATTGGTTGCTTATTATCCTGCTTGGCTGTGTTTATCAAGATGATGGGTAGGAGGGATTTCTTACACTGGACCACCGATGTGTTTTCAACGGGAATCTTCTTGCCGTCCAATTTATTTCTTGAATAATATTAACTATAGTCCCTAAACCCCTTTGCATTGGGGGTTGAAAAGACCTGACATATTTCAGCGCAATGCAACCACATTTGTGCAAAGGTTCCCAGGCGAGTCACATCCCCTCCAATATATAGGAGTCAAATACCACTCTGCTAGTAGCTTAAAACACATTTCAGATCAGTCAAAACAAAGCATGCCTACTTTATAGTATTTTGCTCCTCTGATGCTCATTGATTTTTTACCCACAAATCATGCTCCCACTTCTTTAAATACAGAGGTGTTATAGGCTAAACTTCCTTGACACTAATAGTCGAGTATACCAGAGAAATACTACGGCACGCACTGGCTGAGGAGCTAAAAAGCATCTCTATTGGTAATAGATTATCCCCATCACATAGTAGCAGCAGCAGTAAAGTTACAAAGTGTGTGAAGTTATGCATATCTCCATTTATCCAGTGGCATAAAACCCCATTTTTGTCTTAATTCTTGAAGAGTGTGTATCGTACCTCCCTTAACAACAGCTCTCAACTACAATACATCAGAATATACCCAACGCGCGAAATACAAATAATCATGTTTCCCCGTGTTATTATTCAAAGACATTAAAGGTGAATTATGTACCCAATGAAACTGTCTGACCAACTCATCCAAGATTCTAAACACATTTTTAGTTAGTGTATTAGTTCTAGTAGCCTGTGGCTTTGTGTAACTAAAAGTCAGGCTTGTTCCACCTGCTGGCTTGTATACATGTTTGTGCAACTTTTAGACATTTTGCCAAGGCACCCCTGAAGAAACCTCAAGGCACCATGGTTGAGAAAGTCTGGCCTATAGGGTGTAAACTTGTGATTTCAGTCAGAGAAGTTGAACATACTGCTGTTTTCAAAAACACCACACATTCTCAAATGTTTTTAGAATTACAGTGGGATGACTTAAGTACATTTACCCACCTGCACAGTTCTAGATCTGCTCAATAATTTTATGTAAGCTATACAAAACCTTCATTTTCAGAGCATATATATGACTAGTTGGTGACAATAAAAAATACTGGTTGATAATTATTCACCAAATTAGCAACAATATTAAATGCAAATCAGGCTGTCTTCCACCTAAACTCAGCTTAGACTATGCAATGTAATTGCAGCTTTAGATCTACCAGCATGTGGTTCAAGCGCATGCCTAACTGGACACTAGGGATGAGACAACTTTTTTAAAGTTTGGA